CGCCAGATTTCCGACCAATAGTGTACTACATCTGTCTCTCCCGGCACGTCTTGCGGTGTCTCAGCTTTTCCATTAAGTTCTTGGTATAACCTTCTGGTGTCATATTGGAATAAATAATTCTGTCTGCGGAATGCGACTCTTTTATTATACCGCTTTCTACGTTGGGCGTAAGCCTGTATCTTTTGTTTTAGTTGTTCTTCTACTCTTACCCGGTCTTCTAAATTGTTTATGTGTATCGACATTTCAATTGTTCTAACTTTCTTCTTGTTGCATTTCTCAATTTTGAGTTATCTTCTTCATGGAGGATTGAGAGATCGGATCTGAGTTTTGTGATCTTGGCCTCTATTCGCTTCTCCCAGGGGGCAGAAGTCTCGGTGTATCTATTTTGTAGGTGTCTGATTGGTTCTTCAGTTAAGTTTTGATGTGGGCTTACTTTCATTGTTACTATTTTTGCTGTCGCATACAATAGGTGGTTAACCTCCGTAATTTTTCAATCAGTGTTTCTTCCAAGATTTGTGAAACTGCTTCGTTTGCTTGTTTTACTATCATCTTTAGTTTCATGTTATCTTGGAGTTTTGGTAGTTTCAGTCTCTCGTTTATGGGTGAAGATTTCGTAGAAACGTATTCTTCGAGAATCTCCTGTTTGATAGTATTATCTGTTTGATCTTCACTCATATCTTCTGTATCCGGCTCAGTTGTCACTGAGTCCAACTCACGTTGCTCTCTCACTTCGATCCGTATTGCTTCGCTTACTTTACTTTTCATCGCTCTTATCATATTTTCATTAAATTTTCCGCTGTTCAGTAGATATCTGCGCTGCGTTGCGAGCTTCTTGGAATCCATGTACGGTCTGCTATTAGGATTCCTACTTCTCCACATGTTATAAACCTCTGCTTCGCCTATTGATTGCTTTGCATTGGTATAGTAGTAACACCACATCAGTTCGTTAATTTCTTCATAACTCCAAGGCCTTTTAGTAAGTTGATTTATTCGATTCTCCTTAGAGCGTTGTTCAAGTGATGCTGGGCTCTGACCATGTTCATCAGGGTAACCAGCAGCTCTTTCCGGATGGTTTTCTGTGATCGTTATGGTGTTGAGTCCGGTTTGAAGGGTCCTTTGTGTTACTGATCTAGTGGCGTTTGCCTGTGTTACCACAGCTGCGTAGTCTTGGTTTTGTCCATTCTCGTTCCTTTGTCTATAGCCTAGGGTGCTGTTAATCCGGGAGGATGCGCCACCCATCACACCTTCACTCCCTTCAGGCTGAGCATCACGACGGTTTCCGAAGAAGGGACCAGCCTCAATCACCTTCCCGCCTCGTAGTTTCGTCTTACTTCTCGTATTCATTTACAGTTAATTATTTTTCACATTGCCTCCGAACAATGGTGCAGCTCAGGGTTTGGCAGAATAAGAAGACTACCAAATCCCGAACTCCCCGTCTAGGGCCGTGGGGGCGACGCTCCCCATGTACCTTCCCTTAAGCCCGGGTCGTAGACCCGACCTTAAAAGTAGATACCCCCTGCGGGGGGGTATTATTATTATTATTATATTATTATTATTATTATTTTATATTATTATTTTATTATTTTTTATTATTTTATTATATATTATTATTATATTATTATTATTATTATATTATTTTATTATTTT